CAAATGAGGCAAGTGGAAAGAATACTTCCAAGCGAGCCAAGTCAAACAGAGCACAGATGAGGGAAGAGGAGTCCCACAGACTGAGGGCGGCCTCCCCAGGTCAGACAGGCACAACAGGAAAGTCCATTTTTGAACCCCTTTCCTCACATTGTGCCTCAGCCCCAGGGGCCTGGTCTCCCCCCAGGGGAATTTCACAACCAGAATCAGCCACAGGAGTGGCTCCAGGGACAGGTGTGACTGGCCAGGATACCCTTAATTTGGGCCCTCAGGCCACATTCACCCCCACTGCAGCAGGGCTTCGCCCCCCTGAGAACCAAACTCTAAATCCGGACTACCTTCAGTCCATGATAGCCCAGGCTGTGACTCAATTCATGGCTTCCAACGCCCCACAGCCACCCCCACAATCCATATATCATTCCCAATCTCCAGATATCATGGATGAACCTTCATCAGATCTAGAATCAACAGGGGCTGAACCATCGGGCCTGATTATGTCAGAGGACGAAGGTATCACTCCATCTAACCCCACCCTTCCTGTCGGTCTCTTTGACCATTCACTTTTTAATTCCCTGCTAATCAAGGCCTGCACAACTGCAAACCTCCCTCAAGAGCAGGAGACCCCACCTACAACATCCAAGGGTCCCCATGCCATATATACTGAGCCCTCAATCTCTCAGAATCATATCCCCTGCCCTCCTCTTTTTCTCAATATGGTTCAAAAACAATGGGAGAATTTAGGATCCCTCTCAAGTCCTGGTGCCATAGAGAAGACATTATTCAATGTTGCCCCTTCTCTGACCTCCCTATTGGAGATTCCTGAGATTGATGAGCCATTGAACTCATTGTTTCCCAATGCTAACATTCCTGGGGATATAAATGAGGCACTTAAGACAGAGGATAAAAAGATTGAGTCCGCATTACGTAGGTCCCATCTGGCATCAGCCTGGGCAACAAAGGCGGCAACATCCATGGCCTTCTTCGCCAGGGCGTCAGTCCTATGGTTACGTGAGCTCCAGGACATGATTCCTCCAGACCAGCTCAGAGCTCACCAAAATCTGGGTAAGTTAGTGGCTACGTCCCAGTATCTAGCTGAAGCTTCTCTGCACACGGCTAGATACACTGCCCGGACCATCGCTGCAGACATCTCAGCACGAAGGCTCCTTTGGCTCAGGAATTGGCGAGCAGACACCAAGGCCAAGTGGCGTCTGGCCTCTAAACCTTACACAGGTGGACATCTCTTTGGTAAGGCACTAGAACCATACTTAACGTTTGGACAAACGTAAAACTCTGGTTAACTCATCAAAGAAAGGAGATAAACACTCGGGGAACAGCATGTCACAGAGCAATTACAGGAGGCAGCCCTTTCGGCCAGCTCCATCCTGGGACTGGGCCCAGGCATCTCGCTATTCCTTTCAGAGACAAGAACGACAGCAAGATCATTCAGCATACAGAAGCAGACCACAGATCCAGGCCAAGTGGCCCTTTCGAGGCGCGGGGGGCCATTCCTTTAAACGAAGCAAGGGATCTCGCAGTCTCACCTCCCATAGGAGGCCGGCTGGCCCTTTATTCCAGCACTTGGGCAGCCACCACTACAGATGCATGGGTGTTAGACACTGTCACCCAAGGTCTGAGACTAGAATTTTGTTCTCAACCACCTGACAAATTCCGCTCTTGCCCTATTCCAACGAGCAGGTCCAGAGCTGATCTTATGTCAGAGGCCATAGCTCATTTATTACAAATACAAGCAATTGAACCAGTACCACAAGACCAAGAAGGACGAGGGTTTTACTCAAACCTCTTCGTCATTCCTAAGACTTTGGGGGGCTGGAGGGCAATCTTAGACTTGAAAGGTCTAAACCCTTACTTGAGGTATAAGAAGTTTAAGATGCAATCACTTCAATCAATCCTGGCCAGCATCAGGCAAGATGACTTTCTTACCTAAATAGACCTAACTGAGGCATATTTGCACATTCTTATTTTTCCTGACCACCGCAAATTCCTCAGATTCAGTTATGCCCAACACTACTACCAGTACAGAGCCCTACCATTTGGCCTCTCATCTGCACCGAGAGTATTTACAAAGGTGCTGGCAGTGCTTGCAGCCCACCTTAGACAAATTCCAATCAGAATTCAATGCTATTTAGATGACATACTAATTCAGTCATCATCATTCCAAAACCTCAGTCAGACCTCGCCCTAGCCATCAAGGTCTTTCAGGAGCACGGGTTTTCTGTTAATTTCCAGAAAAGTCATTCCGTACCAACAACCCGGCTCCTCCATTTGGGCGCTGTTATAGACACAGACAATTGTACTGTCTACCTATCTCAGGACCGACAGAACTCTATTCAGACTCTTGTACGTCGGATCCGAAGGGACAGAGTAGTCACATTGGCCTCCCTATCACAGCTACTGGGGAAGATGGTGTCCTGCGTGCAAATTGTGCCATGGGGACGTCTCCATGCCAGAGAATTACAGTGGCTTCTCCTTCCATTTCAGAGACTTCACATCAGCACATCCCACCAGACGGTCCGAGTCGAAGGGTGTTGAACTCCCTTTGATGGTGGGACTCCCCGGCTCTGTCACGGGGAGCAGAATTCAAAGAACCAGACAGGATTACCATTACTACAGATGCAAGCCTGTTTGGGTGGGAGGCACACCTCCACACGCACTGGGCTCAAGGTCGGTGGTCCAAGCAGGATCTAAAGAACAATATAAACTGGCTGGAACTCAGAGCCATACATATGGCCTTAAAGAGATTCAGCGATATAGTACAGGGCCAATATGTCCTGATTTTAACCGACAACATTACAGCCAAGGCCCATGTCAACAGACAAGGGGGGACAAGGTCCAGGCCTCTCATGCAGGAGGCCAAATTGCTGGGGTCTTGGGCGGAACTGAATCTTGCCTCCATCAGGGCGGAGCACATATCCGGAGTGACCAACCAGCAGGCGGACTCACTGAGCAGAGCCACCGTGGACCATTCCAAATGGCAGCTGGATCCGAAGGTGTTCAGAGAGATCGTGGACAGGTTTGGTTCCCCAACCTTAGACACTTTTGCCTCCCCAACCAACTCACAACTTCCCAGATTCCTTTCCAGGTTCCCATCTCCATCAGCGGAGGGAACAGATGCGCTCTGCAGTCCCTGGCCCAGGAAACTGCTCTATGCCTTCCCTCCCCTACCGCTTCTTCCTGCCACGATCAGGAAGATCCTTCGCGAACGAGCAGAGGTCCTCCTGGTTGCGCCGCATTGGCCGAGATGCTCTTGGTTCGCCGACCTGATGGAGCTCTCCGCATCCCCTCCATGGAGGATCCCAGCAAATCGCATCTCTCTCATTCAGGGGGAACTACGGCATCCGGACCCCCAATGGCTCCAGTTAACCATTTGGCACTTGAGAGGCAGGCCTTAGGCCAAGACTCATATTCGTCAAGGGTCATAGCTATGATCCAGCAATCCAGGCGACCCTCGATGAATAGAATATACGATGCCACGTGGGAAAGCTTCTGTAATTGGTGTTCGGTTCACAAAATTGACCTTTTGGCGGTTTCAGTGCCAGTTATCCTGGAGTTCCTGATGGATGGTCTGGACAAAGGGCTTTCCACAAGCACCATCCGCAGGCAGGTAGCAGCACTTGCCACAGTTATTTCCTGCGGCAATGAATCCTTAACACATCACCCTATGATACGCTCCTTCCTAAAGGGAGCTAACAACGCCAGACCTCCAACTGTACATAGATACCCCTCTTGGGATCTTCATCAGGTTTTACAGGCTCTTGTTTCACCACCCTTTGAACCTATTGACACTTGTTTGTTCAAACAGTTATTGATGAAGGTGGCATTTCTTGTTGCTGTAACTTCAGCCAGAAGGATCTCTGAACTGGCTGCTCTTTCAGTGAGGAAGGACCTGTGTACTTTCCATAAGGACAGGGTAATCCTTAGGCTAGACCCCTCCTTCGTGCCCAAGGTTAATTCCTTGTATCATAGATCTCAGGAAATAGTTTTGCCGGACTTCTGTCCTAACCCATCTAATGATATAGAGGTTCAGTGGAGCAAATTGGATGTGCGCAGGGTCTTATATTGTTATATACAGAGAACCTCATCCTTCCGCAAAACAGAGGCTCTGTTTGTGTCCTTTCACCCTTCGTCACTAGGACAGAAGGTTTCTTCACACACAATAGGCAGGTGGATTAGAGCTTGTATTTCTCTGGCATACCAGACTCAGTCACTGCAAGCTCCTAGGCATATCACGGCCCATTCCACCCGGGGCGCAGCCACTACAGCTGCCTGGTCTACCCAGGCCTCCATAGAGGAAATTTGTAGAGCAGCAACATGGGCATCGCCCTCTTCCTTTGTCCGTCACTACAAGATGGATATATATGCCTCTTCTACAGCTTCATTTGGCCACAAGGTTCTAGAACATGCATTAACATTGGATGGGACCCAGGCCCAATCTAATTCCCCACCCTAGGGACACAGGGCTTTGGTATGTCCCATCCATGGGTTCTCCATCCAATCATGCTGGAGAAAGGGGCATTGTCTTACCTGAACGCCTTTTCTCAGCATGATGATGGAGAATCCACTCCCTCCCATAAGGTCAGTTGGCCTAGTTCCTATATTGATCAGACGCGTCGGACTAAAGTCTGAGTATCGCCTAAGCCTAAAATTGGGGTGCAGTTGGCACAAAGGGGGCGGTACTAAATTTCAGACTTAGTCTAATTGGACCAGATAGATTAAGACAACCCATCCGTGGATTCTCCATCATCATGCTGAGAAAAGGCGTTCAGGTAAGATAACGCCCCTTTCTCTTTCATGATTCAATCAGATTCTCTCAATGATTTTGCCATTTATCTATGCATGTTCTGGGGGTGCCCATCTTGAATCTGGGAACAGGTATAGTTAGTGGCAAGGGCAGGCAGGAAGAACAGCACCCATGAGCATAGCTGAGGTAATTCAGCCTTACAAGTAACTCTTGAAGACCCCAAATCACTAAATCACCCATAGCTCCTCAGTTACCTGCAGAGAAAGGCAAGCAGGCATCCTTCTTTTGGAATTTACCCTTCTTGTCCAAGAAATGAGCTGGGTCAAACTGTTCAGGATCTTCCCAGAAGAGAGGATCAAAGTGTACTGAAATGCCTAATGGAAGAACAGTTGTGCCCTTTAAGGAGACAAGAAGATACAAAAAGCAAAAGTGGATATTTTCCCATTTAAAAAAATGAGCTGTTTTTAATTTTTTCAAAAATAGAACTCCTTGGAAGGTAAAAAAAGTAACATTGATACAATTTACAAGATTGAACCTTGCCCGGTTTTTGACCAAAGCATATTCCCAAGATTAAAAACCTTACAAAAATTATGTTACTTGAAATGAAGGGCATAACAAGACTGATTTGCTTGCTATGTTTCATGAATGTAAACTACATTTATCCCAATGCATATTATTAAAATTTACAAATTTGGGATGACAAGTAGAATTCAAGGTAGTTCCTAAATTTTGAAGTTATACTCCTGTTTCCTAAGTTAACAAAACAAAACTAATAAGAAGAAATTTGAGTGACATTATTATAAATGCATGAGCATTTTAAAGTTATCTATTCAACATCTTACTCCTTTTCTCTAACAAAAAAAAATCTTACTTTGAATTATTTTAGAAATGCTCCCTTGTTGTGTTAATATTATGTTGCCTTGGTACATTGGCATTATTTTTCTTTAGAGCAGCGGTTCTCAACCTATGGGTTGCGACCCCATTTGGGGTCGATCAACCATTTCACAGGGGTTGCCAAGCAAGGGTGTCCGCCATTTTTTCCCCTTTTCCAGCGGGTGCCTTACCTCCCTTGGGCTGGGCCAGCTGGTGGCCCAGTCGGTGGTCGGCCTGCTCCGTCTCTGCCGCTTGCCAGCTACGCCTCGGCCGGCACAGGGGGCGGCATCATGCATGTGCGGCGCTCCTGGGCAGGGAAAGTCCTCAACTTACAACCGGTTTAGTCCTCGACTTATGACCGGTTGGGAGTCACGGCATTAAAAAGGTTGAGAACCACTGCTTTAGAGGCTTTGACCCATGTCTCTTTATCCAGAATGAGGTTGGGGATTAAAACATTCCAAACCAATACAGAAGGCATGGACAGAAACAATGGGTGCCTACTTAGCTCATTACAAGTAGTCAACAGTTCATTTAGTGAGTGTTTGAAGTTACATCAGCACTGAAAAAGAGACTTATGACTGTTTTTCACACTTACGACCGTTGCAGCAGCCCCATGGTCATGTGATCAGAATTCAGAGGCAACTGATTCTTATTTATCATGGTTGCAGTGTCCCAGGAGTCGTGTGATCACTTTTTGCAACTTCTGACAAGCAGAGTCAATGGGGAAGCCAGGTTCACTTAACAATCACGTCATTACCTAAACAACTGTAGTGATTCACTTAACAAGTATGGCAAGAAAGATTGTAAAATGTGGCAAAATTCACTTAAAAATGTCTTTCTTAGCAACCTAAACTTTGGACTCAGTTATGGTCATAAATCAAGGACTACCTGTCCACTTGCTTACTGATAATGTTGTACTTGGTCTGCACCATTCTCTGGCAGACCTTCCTTTCAGCTTGTTTTTTTCTTGCAGACATTTCATTACCAGATTAATAATATCATCTGTGTTCTGAAATGGGAAATGAAGTTGGTTTGCTGTTTTACAGCCTTCTGTGGATTTGGGGAGATTTTTTTTTTTCTTCCTTGACTGTTCCTGCTTATTTGAGTGTTAGTTGAAGGGTGTGATGGGGAGGATGCGCTCAGGGCTGTTGCCTCTTGCTTTGGCCTTTGAGGCAGATTGAAACAGGAGACTACAATCCTCCAAGCAGTTCCCACTCCCAACCTAATTTTGACGCAAAACAAAACGAAAAACAGTATTCAAATCTGGCCATTCTGTCACTATGCAGCCCCTGAAATCTTTTTCAAAAGTTGCCAATTGAATTATAGTTTAAGTGCAAATTGAATGGATGGGATGGGATGGATTTAATTTATTTTAAGGCAATTAAATCACATTCAGTTTTTGTCCTGGCCCCAACATTTTAAGGAACACATCAAAAGATCATTATCTTCAGAACGGTCAGTCCCCCAAAAGATAACATTCCTCTGCTCTACATCTTTATCTACCACCATGTTTTCCCCAAAATAAGACGGGGTCTTATTTTTTTTTTACCTCCAAAAGAGGTACCAAGTCTTATTTTTAAGGGGTGACTTTTCCACTCACCTCTGGCACTGACAGCCCTACCCAGCTGGCCCACTTCTTCTGCAATGTCCCCAGGCCTGCATTTCGCTTCAGAGGCCTTCCAGAAAGGCCTCTGACTGCAAAATGCAAACCTGGGGATGCTGCAGAAGAAGTGGGCAGGTGAGGAGGAGCCTGGTTGCAAGGGTAAGTGGGTGCCGAGCATGTGAAGCAGTTCCACCCCCCACCCCCACTCTAGCTTGATTTTTAAGCATGCACCTCATCCCAAAACTAGGGCTTATTTTGGGGGTAGGGCTTATATTAGACCAAAAATCAAGTTAGGGCTTCTTTTCCAGATAGGTCTTAGTTTTGGGGGAACATAGTACCAAGCTGACTTTGCTAACTCCTGATCCTCTTAAGGAGTGAGTTTGTTTGTTTACAATGGCCACTACTCCTAGGAGCTTCATATTTTGCTATAGCATTTGTGGCAGAGTTGGGAGACGTCAGTTCTTTTGCTTTCTGCTTTATCAATAGTACAAATTACTCACCCCCATGGGCATCTCAAGAAAACGGGGCACAAGTGATTAACTGAAACCCTGTCTTTTTTGTACTAGTGTGTGAAGTAGCCTTGCAAAGGAAACACCCTTGTAATGTACCTTTTGTAATTTAAGAAGGAAGCAATCAATATAGTCTCTCGGATTCTCTGGATCCAGGGTCTTCTTGTGAGCATCCACTTCATTCCTAATGAACTTACAGACCTTTTGACAGAGAAGACTTTATTATGAGGTCCAGGAAGGAATGTTATGTATAATATCTCCAGATATTATACATAACATGAAAGACGTTCAGCATTTCCTGAGCTTTGCAAATTTTTACAGGAAGTTCATTCCTAACTTTGCACACAAAATTAAGCCTCTCAATTGTTGAAAAAGAAAGTATTGTACATCTGAAACATGGTAATAGTAAAAATTAATCATTGCCAGTTCATGTCTTATGCTCTGCTTTAAAAGCTACATAGGAAAATTCATTTGTCTATAAAGTGCTCTTTTATTTATATATTTTTAAAAATAAACAATATACAAGACCAGTTATGGACATTTCCATGGTTTTCTGTTGTGCCTCCTGACCAAATGAATATAAAATATGTATGCTCATGGACACTAAGCTTATTCAGTTATGTTTTTTCTCTTTCTTTATGTCTCCTCAGTTGCTACTATGAGAAATAGTGGAATGAAAGTAGAATAGTCATGGAAGATTTAAAAAGCAATTGTTTATGAATGCCACTCTGAAGTGGTAGTAGTCAGAATAGTTAGCTCAGAAGAAGCAGGGCTGAAGCATTATATATTCAATAACTGGAAAGAATCACTGGTAAGCAGAAAACCCTGCTTGCAGAAGCACATAAAAATCAACATACCAGTCCAGGAACAGTCAGAAACAATTCTGAAAATGCCTCCAAGATTGCCAATAGTTCAGAGAAGGTTTTGCCTTCATAAGTCAGTTGATTCCCAAAGACAACAAAGCATAAAACATTAGAAGAAGCAGCTCTGATAGGTAGGACTATATCAAACTGTTGACCTGTAACATCAAATGGAAAGAATAGATTGTGTGACCACATTTTGCATTTCCAAAACTTTTTCTTAATGAGTGACCTTTCAAAGTTACTACCTATCTGGAAAAAGGGAATTATGATCTGATTCTGAAGTTCTGACAATCTCCCCACCCCCTCCCATTATCACATGACTGTACTTAAGGTGCTTGGCAAGATGACTGCATTTACAGCCATTTGCAAGGTCATTTTTTGATGGTTGGTAAAACTATGCTATAGTGAACAATTGTGCAGCAGCATTTTCTAGATTTATGAACCAATATTTTTTGGACATAATTGACAAATTTGTGGTGCTTTATTTGGCCAGCATCTTGATTTACTCTGAGAATGCAGAGCCATATGAAGCATGTTAGGAAGTTGTTGCAAATGCTAAGGGAGAATAAGCTGTTTGCCAAGCTTGAAAAGTGTGCTTTTGACCTCCAGCAATTGGACTATTTGATCTAAGGGATTTTAACCAATGGTCTCCAGAAATTATACATAACATGAAAGACGTTCAGCATTTCCTGAGCTTTGCAAATTTTTACAGGAAGTTCATTCCTAACTTTGCACACAAAGTTGAGCCTCTCAATTGTTGAAAAAGAAAGCGAAGTTTGCTTGGATGGAGAGGGAGCAGTCTTCATTTCAAGAGTTAAAACAGCTGTTTGCTGCTCAGCCACTTACCCACCACCATGATGCTTTGAAGCATCTTTGACCCATCAATGACCTTAGGAGCAGTTCTAAAAGCGGTCATGACTTTAGGAGCAGTATTCTTACAAAAGAAGGAGGGTGATTACATCCTTCTGCCTTTTACTCTAAAACATTAACAGCTCCAGAAAAAAATTATAACAAGGAGCTGCTACATGTAAAGGTGGCTTTTGAGCAACAATGGTACTGGCTGGAAGGTTCTTCTTTCCCAATGGAAGTTTGCAAATACTACAAGTTTGCAGTTGTTGCAGAAAACTCAATTGCTTTCCCCAAGACACATGAGGTAGAATTAGTTTTTCTCTTGCTTTGACTTTTATATTACCTATGGATTGCATAATTTGTTGCCAGATGCTGTGATGTCTCCATTAGGTGACTCCCCAGATTCCTCCTCAGATGTCAGCTCAGGGAAAGTTGAGCCCATTTCTGGCACATTAGGAACTGAGTTAACTGATGGCTCTGAACTGTCCGAAAGTTTGCAGTGGCAGAGAGCCAGCAAAGAGGAGGAGGAACTGCCTTCTGCACTTGATTCAAAAATATGCAGGGCAGGGAAAAGGCAGGAGCAGTGGAGATTAGCCAGACTACTCAAGAAGGGGAAACCCCACCCATCTTGTTGGGCTGCTTCAGAAAGTTGGCTATTTATCACATCAGACAGATGGAGGCATTGCTGGGAACAACGTGTTGGTTTTCTAGCTATTTATTTGATCATTTTGATTCCTGCTTCACTCTGGATTGACACCGTGTTTGGAATTGTGCCTTGGAGACTCTGAACTTTTCTTGCCACGTGAGCTCTCTTGTGTGTGGATTTAAGTTTTGCCTGGTGGAGTTATTTTGTTTGAGCAACTTTCAGTTGCTTTGTGGACTATTAGGCCATTGCTCTATGGACTAAACTTGGCCTGCTTGTGACTGGACTTAATTGGGATAGTTTTGAGTTTTGCTGAAGGGAATTGCTGGAGAATATTAATATATTCACTAAACCACAGTTATAGGTGTATGTGAGTTAGTGGGGCAGCACAGATCCTCTATCTCACAAGTCTGAATATCTTCAGTCTTGCAAAAATAGGCACCAACCCCCATGAGAATTTTATAGCCTTGTAACTTTGGTTGACAACACACAGGTACTATCAAAGAAACTTTAGGATAGGAAAAACAGATCCAGGATTTGTTCACCAGAATCAAGACTCAGAAGCAGAAAAATCCATACATGTGGGCCCGAATGGGTAACCTCTGGATCTGCATTTTCAGTGGAAAAAGGAATCTGTGACATAAGAGCAGGATCTTTGTGCCTGTATCTTTAAGAGAAGAAATGCTATAGCTTTTCCATGAGATGGCTGGAAGAATCTTCAAGTCCCTGCAAAGAGTGCTAAGAGACTTTTTGTAGGCTTGCTGACAGCAGACATCAAAGGCAGCACGCCAAATATGCAGAAGAGCTAAGTCCATAACATGGCAAATCAGCAGACTTTTACTGTCCCTAAAAACACCTCTTCCCAGTTTTGGCATATAGTGTCAATTGACTTTATAACAGACTTGATGTCAACTCTACAATGAACCTGGCTGCAGCCATTTCTTTAATGCTAAGTTGCCACAGGAGTGGGAAGGCAATGGAGGATTTCTACAAGTCAAAACATTTTACTGTCCCATGGGAACCAAGGTCATTTCTGTCAATTAGATAGGGGCTGGAGGGTTGAGTTAGAAAGCTCGCAAAACTATTCTATTGGGGAATGTAGCTGATTGCATAGCTCTGTAGTGGGAAGTTCAGCTTTGTAATATTGTTGCTTCTGAAGGAAACTTCAGACTTGGTTTCACTTTTGATCACTCCAATACTTTGTAACTAATAAAGATGTTCCTTGAAGAAGTCCAAGCCTCGGAGTTCTGCATTATTCGTCTCTGTCTATTGGAACCATGACATTAAACCAAGTCTCCTAAAACCTTTCCATTTTTGGGGGGGTGCTGGGCCCCGGCTGCCTACCCATCACTTTTGGGACTCGGCAAAGATTTGAGGCTGGAGATGAGAAACAGAGCCAATGCTGGCTGCAACAGAGCTTCAGCCATTGGAGTGGGAGCAGGAGCTCAGTCACCAAGGAGGCATCGCTGGCAGGGGCTCGGCCAAAGTTCAGGTTGATCCAACCTGGGTAGCTGGTACCACAGGAAGGAAGTACAGTCCTAGCGGACCTCAGCACAGGAGTACTCCTGTTGCTGCTCCTGTCTCAGGGTCCTTTGTCAGTGACACAGAAGAAGAGTAAGGGGACTACTGGATGGGATGGCTCTGGGGATTGGAAGTTCCAGTCTGTAGTCCTCAACCCTTCAGTCAAGCAGCTGAAGGAAAAATTCAGCTGTCTGGAGGTAAAGGATATAACTTCTACTGCTCAATGTGTATCTGTGGCATGTGGGGAAAACCCAAGGATTATCCATCCCTTCCCCCCCTCACTGGAATCCCAGTCAGATTGCTGAAGCCCACACTGCATCTCCTGTTCCCCAATTTGCTGTGATGTCCAGCCCTGGATTGACCCAACCAAACCCTCAGACATACCGCCGAGCTGCAAGTCCTGGAGCCCAACCAAGTGAAATCTGGAGAGTGATTTGACCATGTCCCCAGGACCAATGGCCAGCCCATCAACCGGTATATCTGGCCCCACAGCCATTGGAGCCCCCTTCCATTAAGCCCACCTTCAATGGGGACTCCGAGAAGTTATCTTTCTTCCTAAATGAAGACTATGCCTATGTCTATCCGGATGATGCCATAATGGGGAATGCTATGATGGCAAATTTAGAGGGAGAGACAGCCAAGTGGGTGACCAACCTCCATGATGAAGGGGCTCCAGGATGTTATTCATAGAACAGCTGAGGGCCCGCTTTGAAAATGAATATTTAATCCTGATGTCAGAGAAGGAAATCACTGTTTGAAACAGAGGGTCCGCTCTGCTAAAAAATATGTTTGAGAATCCAGAAGATTGGCTCATAGTTAGGGCAATGGCCAGAATGTTCACTGATCAACTATTTCAAGCAAGGGCTGAACCACAACTTGTTCCAAGCCTGCATTTATCTGGGCATTCCCAACCAGCTATGGGACTGCTATAACCTGGTAGTGACTCTAGACATCAAATTGGACTGCCCTGGAAAGTCAAGCCCAGCCAAACCTAAACCATGACATGTTCAAGAGAAATGTCTTTTTGGCCAACATTCCCAAGCATCTACCAGAACTCCCATCAAGTGCTACCGATGCAGTCAAATGTGTGACCGTGCTGTGGAATGCCCAGCTGCTACCCTCCAGGCCACTGCTAAGCTGCATAAAGCTCCATGGGGAGTAAAAGAGAAGTCCAAATGGGCCCATCAGGATCCGGTCATGGAGATCTCCTCTCCTACCAAACTCGAGGAGAAAATCCTGCCTGGGCAACAACAGGCACCAGTGCCTTATGAAAGTGATGAGGATGATGAAGACAACCTTATGGTAAGTCAACCCATCCCATCTTTTGCTATTCCTGCCAAGATTATAGTGCTGAAAACGGGCTCAGACTGATTTGGACGTTTTAATAGACTCAGGCTGCACCAGATGCTTCATTAACTTGCCCACCATTCTTAAGTTGGAAATTCGCACCAAATTGCTGCGAGGTTTGAACAAGTGGATGGGCCGCTTATCAGAGGTTCCCCAGCAATGTACCTAACAGAGCATTGCATCTGGAAATGGGACAACATTGGGACAACATTATTTGCTTCATGGTAGTCCCCAAGATGAAAGAAACAGTAATTCTAGGCTTGGCTAGGCTGGACAAATGGCGCCCAAATATTTGGTGGGAGGATGGCATGCGAACTTTTGTGAATAGGACCTCTCCCACCAACCAACTTCACTGAGATAAAGGGGGCTGCTGCCATTGGAGCCGAGAGAGAGCCTATCAAAACATTAATAGCTGCTATTGATGGATTTCTACCAAAAAGACAAATAAAGAATAACTTAAGAATAGTTTTAGATAGTTTGGAATATTATGAAATGTACCCAGGGAAACAAATGGTATTAATTTTCTTAGATCAAAAAACATTTGATAATATCAATTGGCAATTCATGATACAACAACTAAACTATATGGATTTTGGAGAAAATTTTATAAATATAATTAAAACAATTTACCATAGACAAATGGCTAAAGTAATTGTAAATGGAGATTTTACAGAGAATTTTAATATTAAAAAAGGTACAAGATAAGGGTGTCCATTATCACCTTTATTATTTATTCTAACTCTTGAAGTGTTGAATAGAAATATTAGACAGGACCCAGAAATTAAAGGTATAGAG